AATTTTTATTAATCTTAGAACTAAGCAATACCAGTCCATAAACATCAATAGCACAAATGGATGTTCACATGTTGATAAGACTTGTTTTGAGAAGTAGGAAAAAAATTAGTATATTGTTTTTGTTTTTTTTTTTTGAAAAAATATGTAAAAAAATAGAAATGTAATGTGACCTAAATAAGTTAATAAATTAATAAATTGATTTTTTTCCTAATTTCCAAAATGTCCCTAAGACCCCGTTTGGATGGATATGAATATCAAATAAAGATACTCCTTGAGATTAATAGATAAAAAAATAATGAGAAAAGATAAATTGACGAAGAAAAAGAGAAGCATGTTGTTATAAAAAGAAACCTTGATATGATTTTAAATAATTATTTTTATATAGTTATTTTAAATTCTTCATGATAAAATTATTTAATTTAAGGCACAATTATTAAGAAAACAAAATTTTAAAGTTTGAACCTTACAACAAAATTGTACGTCCACATATTACAATCACAGCATGCCTTATCCACATAAAGTATTACAATATGTGGTTCTTAAAATATAAAAACAATTCAAACCACCAAAATCATGAACACAACAATAGTAAAGATTGTATGCTTCTGTATTGTTACATCTATATCTATTTTTTAAAACAAAAACTAACCAGCATATATCATCTTTTTTATTTATTATTTTTAGAGTTAGATTTAAAAATCAAAAAATATAAATAAACAATACATTTATTTTTTCAATTCAAAAAATATATTCAAGTTGAAAACTCTTTTTCCACAAAATATTTAAACTATCTTTCAATTGAAAACACAAACATAATATCTAAACAAATTAAAAACACAAAGTCTTACAAATTATTAGGGTACTCGTGGTTTGGCGGTTCGGTTGTGGCCAAATGAATCTCAAATCCGCTATCCGTCCAAAACTAGGCGGATTGGAAAAAAAAATCAATCCGCAACCGTTCGTTTGTCATCACGCATCCGTCCAAAATTAAACAGATCGGTTCGGTTCGGTAGGTTTAGACGGACCGATATATCCGCTGCTCACCCCTAATTGCTTCTCTTCTCATTGACTTCTTTAATCATTTTAAGCCTTCACTCGTCCTATACACAACAAAAAAAAATTTGGTATAAAAATATACGTAATTTTTTTCACTATTTAAATGATCTTTACACTTTATATAATTGAAATTTTCATTTTTATAGTAATTGTTATCTAATATGAATAATTTGTTGTCTTTACATATTTTATAAAAGTTAGGTTGAGAAATATTTTTAAATCTTGAAATATGCTTTTGAAATTTTTTGAATACCTGTACAAGTAGAATCATTTTTTAAAAAAAAAAAAAAACTAAATAGTCTTGATTAGATACAGTGATAAATTTTTAGTTTAGAAGCATGAAATTGAAGAAGAATTAAACTGTTCTTTTTTATTGGCTGTTTGATTCTAATTTGTTTTCCATTTGATTTTAAAATTTTCACGATTCAATTTGAGATTTAATTTCTAAAATTGTGGAAACGATTTCAATTTTTATTAATCTTAGAACTAAGCAATACCAGTCCATAAACATCAATAGCACAAATGGATGTTCACATGTTGATAAGACTTGTTTTGAGAAGTAGGAAAAAAATTAGTATATTGTTTTTGTTTTTTTTTTTTGAAAAAATATGTAAAAAAATAGAAATGTAATGTGACCTAAATAAGTTAATAAATTAATAAATTGATTTTTTTCCTAATTTCCAAAATGTCCCTAAGACCCCGTTTGGATGGATATGAATATCAAATAAAGATACTCCTTGAGATTAATAGATAAAAAAATAATGAGAAAAGATAAATTGACGAAGAAAAAGAGAAGCATGTTGTTATAAAAAGAAACCTTGATATGATTTTAAATAATTATTTTTATATAGTTATTTTAAATTCTTCATGATAAAATTATTTAATTTAAGGCACAATTATTAAGAAAACAAAATTTTAAAGTTTGAACCTTACAACAAAATTGTACGGGGAGGAAATAATTCTCCTCGTATAATTCTGTTGACCAGACGTGACACTCACCTCTCCACGAAAGGGAGTCGATAAACAGGTTGCGTTGGGATGATTTAAATAAATATATTTTTAATTTTTTTTTAAAAAAATAAAAATTAAAAAGATGATTGGATTTTAAAAAGATAAAAAAAAAATTTAAAAATATGTTTTTCTTTATCATGCCAAAAAATCCAACGTAGTTTAATGACTAACAGTCGTTTGACATGATGGATTGCGATGGATTAGGATTAAAATAATCACAAAAGATAAAATAAATTTTTTAGATTAAAATATCAAATTTAAATTATAATTATTTTATTTATTTTTTTATAAAAATTAAAAAAATTAAAAATAATCATCCAAAGTTAATCTCAAATTAAAATAATTAAAAATTAAAAAATCAACTCAATTCCCAAGTCTAAAATCTATGTGGCATGAGTTTGACCCGATGGTGATAGAGACACATCATCATCAATCCACACCGACAGCCTGCACGGCATTTGCCAGTTCATTAAAATCATTAAATAATGCTCTCCAATTCAATTATGGTTTTCAAAACTATTAGGTGCGTTTGGATAAATATGGATTTGAACTCCTTGGATTTGATTTTCTTTCATCGTATAAATTTTAATTCAAACGAAACTTGCATTGAAATGTCAGTGTTAATGTTTAGGTTATAATCTCTAGTTAAAAATAAACAATAAAATATTTTGACAATCTCAATTCGGACGCTACCATGGACTTATAGAGAGAATGTAAGGATTTTTCTATACCCGAAAAAATATATATATATGGATTTGAAATTTAGGGAATTTAATTTTAATCACTCAAAGATTATAATCTAAAATTACATATGATAGTTTCGTTATGAATAGTTTTGTCAAGATTGTTAGAATTTCTCTATACCAGCCACCTCCACTATCACACACTCCACTACCATCCACCTCCACTATCACACACTCCACTACCATCTTCTCCTCTATATATAGGACTTGTAATATACAGAATATATTAACATCTACATCAATTAATAATAATACATCAGTTATTTTAACATGGTATCAGAGCAAGGTTAACAACTTAGTACTTTCGTTTCACCGGCGGGCGACAGCCTCGCCTAATTGTACCAAACAAGACCAACAATTTTAAGACTAAGAATTTAAACAATATATTTTTATAAAAAATAATTTGTGTTTTAAATTCAATATTTATATAGTGACTAGTGAAATTCATATTTAAAATAAATTTAAACTATACATTATTTTTCTTTATATTTCTTTTCTATTTATTTTTCTCCTTAACATTAATGCCAACAAAAAAATGTCACACAAAATGTATGGGGCATCTCTCCCCCTCCGAACTCTCCAATGTTGATGGGAGGATTCTTCAATAAAGCATTACAAGACTTCATCAATTAGTTTCCAAAAAAAAAAAAGAGGACATTTAATAGAAAAATGAAATTTGGGACAATTCTTACATTCTAGTGTCCTGTTTGGGTATAATTCTCAAAAATTAATTCTATATTTACGTGTGGAAACTCTTTCTAGAATATGAGTAGTAGACAGAATACTTGAATTTTGAATTTCGAAGGTCTATCCGGTCTTTCAGCCGGATATTCTCCCGGACAATTTTTGAATTTTTGGGTGTATCCGGTTGTCCTCTTGGACATTTTCCTGGAGGTCCGGCCAGTTGACCGGAACAATGTTTTTTTTTTTTTTTTTTTTTTTTTGCAGCTGTTATGTGAAAAAAAAAATTAAATAGATTTTTTCAATAGTTATTTTTTAGAATTGAATTTTAAAAAGAGTTTGGTTATGAGTTTTGAATAGAATTTTTAATAGAATTTTGAGTTGTGTATTTATTTATGAGTTACAAATTTTTAAATTATGTTTTCAAAATCCTTTTTAAAACTCACAATCAAACAACTTTTCCTATTTTAAAACTTATTTAAAAAATTCAACACTCAATTTAAAATTCTTTTCAAAATTCACAACCAAACAAATTTTTTCTTTTCAAATCATAATTTCTCAACTCACAAACTCAAAATACAACTTTATTCTTAAATTATAATTCTAGAACTCTACCAAAACTTTTTAACTCTTTATAACATAGTTTGGGAGTAATTTTGTATGAGAGATTCTTTGCCTTTAAATCTCTTTGTCCATTTATTTTAAATTATTTATATTTATTATATCATGTCTTATTCCAATTTGTTTACAATTTTTTTGGTCGGAAGAGTGTAGAAGGCAACTTTATAATTTTGAGAAATACAAGATAATAAAATCAATATATTAAACTTAAAAGAGGGAGGAACAAGAGTAAAAAGATAACTTACTTAGAAAAATAGTTAAAAACTGAGGATGTGTTTGGAGAAATTTTTCAAATACATTTTTACTCATTGATTTGAATTTGGTATTTATTTCGAGTTTTTAAATTATAATTTCATATTCACTTTTGAAAATTCATTGATTTGAATTTGGTATTTATTTCGAGTTTTTAAATTATAATTTCATATTCACTTTTGAAAATTCCTTTTCAAGTAGAAAAATTTAGCTAACTTGGTTGTCTTCCCGAACTTCATATTCACTTTTGAAAATTCCTTTTCAAGTAGAAAAATTTAGCTAACTTGGTTGTCTTCCCGAACGTCTGGCTAGTTGACCGGAACAATATTCGTTTTTTTTTTCACTTGTTATTTTTATATTTTAAATAAAAAATATTTCTAGAGTTTTTTAAATTTTTTTATGAGCTTTGAATAGGATTTTGAATTTTGTGTTTAGTTATGAGTGATAAGTTTTTAAATTAAATATCATATGTCATATCATTCATTTCAAACTTAATTCAAAACTTTTTTTAAAGTTCATAACTAAATAAATTTTTTACACTCAAATCAAAATTTTAAAACTCACAAATTCAAAATATAATTCTATTCTTAAATCATATTTCTAAAACTCTTCCAAACACTATCTTAAATAACACAATTAGAAGAAAAGATGGCAAACCCTCCAATATGACTTTACAATTTAAAGAGAAATAGTGGGCAAAATCCATCCCCTTGTGATATACCAAAAAAAGCTTTAAAAAAATGGCTACAGACATTCAACTCTCCTAAAGCCAGACAAACATACTCAAACCTTAAAATCTTTCATTTCTACAAAGTACAGGTGAGTTTATTACAAACAATCTTCACAGAATGTGAAGAAATTGAAGATAACATCATAGGGGCACTGATCCATAGAACACTACCTCAGCTGGGCCAGTCATATACACACGGTTGTCTTTCTCACTCCACTCAATCTCTAGTCGCCCGCCAGGCAAATCAACAGTACAACTCTGAAGGAGAGAGAGAGAGAGAGAGAGAGTGAGAGAGAGAGAGAGCAAAAAACAAACAAGCGGACATGAGTGCAAATATAAAGAGCGAAACGCATCAGAAACTACAAGCCTATAAGGAAACGTTATCATTTCTTTTCCTTTTTCTTTTTCCTTGCATACAAATCCATCACAACAAATTAGGCCACTATCAAAAACAGTAGAAGGGGCCATGAAAAACAGTAGTTATCCCCTCTTGAAAACCTAAAGAAGAGATTGTGCAACAGAACACACTTACTTAAAATGCCAAAAACAAGAGATCATTTCATTTATTTATTTTTTTTTTTTTTGTGTGTGAAATTCCAGAGAACAGCTTCAATATATTTAATGAACCGTGGCATCCAAAACTTACCCTCCCAGCATGACCTTCAAGAACTGCTGCAACCACCACGGCACAAGCTCCAGTTCCACAGGCAAGTGTTGCTCCTACAACAAGCCACCAGCATAAGGTTCAAAGATAACCAACAAAAGAGGGATTGCATTTTTCACCAATAATGATGATGATACTGTGAGAGAGAGAGAGAGAGAGAGAGAGAGAGAGAGAGAGTCAGTCTAGACTAGCGGAATGTTGATTCATTCATGTCTTCCAGTAAATAGATGTGGAATATTTATTAAGCAGCACCAACGACGACACACATTCATGTATTCCTCAACTAAGGAAGCTAACCTGCCCCACGCTCCCACACACGCATCTTTAGATGTGAACGAGAGAAGACTTGAACAAATTCTGCAAATTCAACATAACAATGATCAATGAAACAAAATGCATGAAGTAACACAATGGGAAAAAAAAATATTAAGAAAAATGGGGGAAACACCAAAACAATTGAAAGTAGCATATATCATTCTCATTAGAACACCACATTTACCTCGCATATAATGTAACTAACAAGCAAGAGAGACATATTCTCTAAAAATATTAGAAAAAGAAGAAGAATGGCTACAAACCAAAAAGAAGAGCTCCCATAGAAATGAGGGAATTCAAGAAACTAACTGCTTTCCAAAGCAACTGATTTCTTCACAATTCTAAAGACTTTGCTACCACTAATTTGCAGGTTCAGTTTAGTTTGTTTAGCAGATCCATCCAGAAAAGGAAACAGAAAGCCCTAATTTTATTGTGTTCATAAAGACATATCATCAATGGGGTTCTTTCTAATGAGTAAATATTTCATTAGAAAGAACATGCCAACGAAATTTGGGTAGCTTGATTAGAACCTCATGCTCCAAAACTAGCATCAAACACAAAAATTAAACAAGGATAGGCAAAATCTGACCTGTGTTAGTTCGGGCAGGAAACATCTCGTGATGCTCAAATTTTGGACCAATTTGAGCTAAATTTAATTCATCAACCTGCAGATTCTACTTAGGAAGACACCAAGGGCAGAGCATAAACTCAGCAAAGCAATAAAAATGAGAAAGGTATAATATTACAAATATTACAACAACCAAAAAAAAAAACATTCTTTTGTGAAATATATATGGCGCGCGTGTGTGGTGATTTTTGGGTCCAATGGGTCTAGCCCATTTTGTCCATAACCTCTCCCTCTAAAACACTTGGGTACCCCTTGGGGCACACCCCAAGTATCTCACCCTAAGCCTTATAAACCCTTTCAAAACTTCCCACCAAATCAATGTGGGACAAGCCAATTTACAACCTTAAGGAATTTCCACCAAAACTCCATTTTCATGGAGCACACTTTGGCTTCAATTTCCCATTCACTCGGTAATGGTTTTGAGCAACCAAATATACCACGTGAATCACAACGCGGCATAGAACGCGTTACCACTTTGACCCGAGTAAATCGACACTCGGGGCCCTCCTAAAAAATAGACCGAACTTAAGAAAAAATTCTAATTTTATCCAGAATTTTATAACCATTTCCAACATTTTATACTTAGCTTTGATTTGTTCATATTTTATTTTTCTTGACTTTTTAATATTTTAAAAAATGACCATTGTAAAGCTAAAATTGAAAGGTCAATATTATTAAAAAAATTGCATGAAAATACAAATGCTCTCGTTGGTTGATATATCACTATCACGGAAGATTTTATACTTGTATTATAAAAACAATAGTGCCAAGTGGGGTGGCAATATGGTGAATACTAACAACGTCAATGTCATTTTCATTAAAACTATACTACTTAAAATAAACCGCCGGCCAAGTGTATTTGTAAGAAAGAAGAGACTTCTCAAAGCAACGAATCTTAGAGAGAGAGAGAGAAGAAAACCACGACGGCGACAATGGCGAACTACTCCGGCAGCCACAACCGCCTACCGATAATCTGTTGTTTTGTGATCGTAGCTCTGTTGATTCTCTCATCCGCCACCGTGGAAGCTACCGGAAACCACCATGACCAGTGGTGGATGGCGACGGCGAAGCCTGCCTGCAGAGGATCGATGGCGGAGTGTATGGCGGAGGGAGAGTTGGAGATGGATTCGGAGATCAACAGGCGCATATTAGCGACGACGAAGTACATAAGCTACGGAGCGCTGCAGAGGAACACAGTGCCGTGCTCTCAGAGGGGAGCGTCCTACTATAACTGCCAGCCTGGCGCTCAAGCAAACCCTTACACCCGTGGTTGCAGTGCCATTACGCGTTGCCGCAGTTAGATTTTTCTTTCTTTTTTACTTTCTATCTCTTTCTTTCGATTTTCTTTTGGGACAAATGTTGTGTACTCAAAAAAAATATTTGTTTATTATTATGTCTACTTAATTTTGATCTCCTTTTCTTGCATATATATATATATATTAGAAAAATGTTAAAGCCTAAATTTTTTTTATCATGTATGTGATTTATATTTGATAAAAATTTAATAAAATATTTAAAACTTCTAGCTTTTTTCTATATATTATGATGGAAGCATTTTAATTTTCTCGGGAAACAATCACCTGGTGCTCTAACCATGTCACAAAATGATTAATTTGATTTGCGTGTGATTTGATGCTTTGATACTTATTTTGACTTGCGGTGGATTTTGAAAAATAAATAATAAAATATGTAAAATATAATTATATTTTATTTTACAATTAAGGGTATAATAAATCAAATAAAAGGAATTAGCATCAAATTGAATTCTTTGATTTGTTGGTTTTTTTGAACAGGTCTTTGATTTGTTTGTTGATGAACCAAAATTGGCCAGATGCTACAGTTGAGTTTTGTTAATTTTAAATTTAACGTAAATAGAAAATTCACAAAAAAGCAAAAAATTAAAATTTTTATAAAATTTTATATCAAGAATAAATGAATAGACTATGTTCTATAAATGTCTCACTTTTGCAAAATGTTTAGTTTAACAAGAATAAAAAATAAAAATAAAAACTATCTAATAGATTATTATTTTGATGTGTAAAATTTTCACAAATTATGAAATTTTAATGAATCTTAAACGGTGGATCCAGTTCTAAACAAATCTTTGCTTCTCGGAATGTTTTGTTGACCTCCTGACAAACTTCTCTATTTTGAAATTTTAATGAAGTTTTATTTTATTTTATTTTATTTTATTTTTTTTAGAAGTTTTATTTGTTAAAAAAAAATGATATATTCATTTTAGCACTTCTCTCTCTTTTTTTTTTGCACTTCCCTCTCTTTTTTTTTTTTTTTTTTTAGATGTGGGTGTTTAAATCGCTATTCTAATTTGTATGTTTTGTTAAAGATGAAGTATACGTAATTATTTTTCTTTCATTAGGAAAATGAAAAACGAATAGAATTTGGACACAAAATTTTATTTAGCCTCCGTTTGGGAAGTGGGTTGACTTTTTGGCTTTTTTAATTATTTTAGCCTGGGCTAAAAAGTTTGGTTTGTGAAGGGTTTTTTAGTTTTTTGGCTTTTTTGACTTTTTTTGTGAGAGAAGAATGTAATGATTATGGGTTGGATGTGATGTTTTGTTTGTTATGGTTAAAATAGCCTATTTTATTTTTTGTGACTAAAATAACCAAAAAAAGCCCAACCAACTTCTTCCCAAACGGTGCCTTATTTATCTCCTTTCAATTTTATTCTTTGATAAATTGAAAATCTAAATATATCATAAGTATAAAGATAGTTTCATAAACATAGTTATGATGGTGGGGATAGTATAAGGGGAATGACCAAAGACTTTATACAGGAGGTGTTTGGCAAGTGGGTTGGGGCTAAAATAGCCACAAAAGACAAAACAGGCTATTTTAGCCACAACAAACAAAACATCACATCCAACCCATAATCATTACACTCTTCTCTCACAAAAAAAAGCTGAAAAGCCAAAAAGCCAAAAAACCCTTCCCAAACCAAGCTTTTTAGCCCAGGCTAAAATAGCCAAAAAAGCCAAAAAGTCAACCCACTTCCCAAACGGAGGCACAATTTTTCCTTTAATTTAATAGTAGGTTCATTTATATATGTTTTGATTAAATACTTTCGGAATCTGTATATTTTATGGTAGTTGTATTGAGTATTGTGCAATAAATTATTTATTAATGACCAGAGAATATTATTTTTTTTTTTATATTTATGATCGTTACGAATTTAATTATAATCAAGTTGTCCTGAGTAGCTTATTAAAATTTGAATAATTTTTGAATTGCCTCAAATGAAAAATGAATAAATTCATCTAATCAAGGGCAATTTTAAATACACAAGTAGGAAATATTCGAAAGAAGAGATGATAAAGGGAAAAAAAAAATGGTTTGGGTTTAGGAGGGATTGGGTCCAGGTTATACCATATGTTCCTAGGTGGTGTTATGTGGTTGTCAATATTTAATTTTTTGTTAAAATTTTAACAAAAAATAGGGATTGTAACAAATTGAAAAAATAAAATTATAGGAAAGCTTGAAGATCACATTAAATAAATAAAAAAAATAAAAATAAGAGCCAAGGTAAGATTAACTAATATTTTAGGGTACAAAATGTAATTTATCCGAATACAAAATATTTAATGTAAAAAATTATTTTATCAGGAAACTTATTTAAAAGAGAGTTTCTAGATAGATCATCAATGCGGCTTTTATAGTGGGTTTACATAGCCTCCGTTTGGGAGTGAGATGGATTTTTAACTTTTTGATTTTTTTTGATTATTTTAGTTTGGGTTAAAAAGTTTGGTTTGAGAAGGATTTTTTAGTTTTTTGACTTTTTTGTTTGTTTTGTGAGAGAAGAATGTAATAATTATGAGTTAGATGTGATATTTTATTTTTTGTACTTAAAATAACTTATTTTATCTTTTGTAACTAAAATAACCAAAAAAACTCCGTTTAGCTCTTGCCAAACGGAGCCATAGGCCCAATAACACATTCCAATTAGGAAGTCCAACCGGAGTGAACCCAATCCCACTTTGAGTTTATACCTATTTACATGTTGACAATTTAATTTCTGTTTATAACTGTTACTAGGATCATATAAGTCTCATATTTTTTTCGAAAAACATTTAGAGAGACTTAGGTCTCGTTTGGGGACTTACTTTTTTAGTTAATTAGTTAAAAAGTTATTAAATTAGTCAAAAAATCAACAATTCATACCAAAAAGTTAAATATTCTCTTTTCTCTCTACTTTTTGTACATTTTTTCGTAATTAGTCAAAAAGTCATCCCAAACATACAAGTTTTTTTTACTTGCCTTTTTAGCCAAATAGTCAAAAAGTTACTAAATTAGCCTATTTCCAAACGAGGCCTTAGTCTCCGTTTGAGAAGTGGGTTGGCTTTTTGACTTTTTGATTTTTTAACTATTTTAGCTTGAACCTAAAAAGTCTAGTTTAAGAAGGACTTTTTGGTTTTTTTGATTTTTTTTTGTGAGAGAGGAGTGTAATGATTATGAATTGAATTTGATGTTTTATTTTTTGTGACTAAAATAATCTATTTTATTTTTTGTGACTATTTTAGCCTCTAATCCACCAAAACCAACTTCCCAAACTATGCCTTACGAAATGATTATATTGATCAGAGCTATTTATTTATAAAATATTTATTTATTTATGAATATTCCTAAAATGTATTGGGACAAAATAAATATTAAATTGTACCTGCCTTATAGATATTTAAATTTATCACATAAGAATGACCCATAATTTACCTGAATATTTACACATTCATAATCATTGAAAATCTTGAAACACGATAATCTTAAGATATGATCTTATAGATGTAACAAACAAATTTAGGGATAAAGAATCTCATGCTTATTGGGAACAACAATGATTCATCCCACTAAAAACATCATCACTAATAGCACTAATGCATTAAAAAAGTAAAAAAAAAAAAAAATGTTTTCTTTTTTTCTTTCTTTTTTCCTTTTTTTTTTTTTTTATACCTGAAATGGAATTTCAGGGCATTCGGGCTCCCCCATTTCGGGCCCTCAATCACTGCCCGTTTTGATAATCTAAACCGTTTATATTGTAGGGTTGGTTAAGTAGATTATTTATGTAAAAAATTAAATTGATTGGACATCTATAACTCTATAATAAGAATTCATTTATTTTTTTTTTAAATAAACAGTTAATATGATCTTAATTATTTTTTAAAAACAATTAAATTGAATCATGAGGATGCCAATTTTCAATTGATTTTTATTTTTTACATAAATGATATCCTCAACGAACTTTACAAAATGAACAGTTTAGATTATCAAAAAAAAATCAAGAAAATTCCACATCAGGACACCACAGGCCTTGCAGTATTCACAAACCCTGCTTATTGAGACTATTTGGTACTTTTTTTGTAATCTAAAAATTGATAATTAAAATATAGAAGTTAAAAATATTTTTCTCAACTTTTATATTAGACTTATCTCATGTTGTCTCTTTAAAACAATTCAAGCTTATACTTGAAAGGTCCCTTCATTCATTGTTAATTAATATTTTGTTCCGACTTATGTTTTATTACTGAAAAATGTTATAAGTTTCAAATTTTTTAATAAATGAATAACCAAATGTCTCACACGTGAGTAGCCACACCCAAGTGAGACATTTGGTCATTCATTTAGTAGAAAATTTTGTATCCCTAACATTACCCTTCATCACTAGCTTGCATCTATCTGTCACCTGTATATACAAAGCTTGAAAGTCTTATCAATGTGAGATATTTGGTCATTCATTTAGTAGAAAATTTTGTATTCCTAACATTACCCTTTATCACTGGTTTGCATCTATCTGTCATTTGTATATACAAAGCTTAAAAGTCTTCTTTACTCATTGTTAATGAATTTTGAGTTAAATATTGGGAGATTTTGTTAAAGTCATCTCATAACAAAATTTTAATGTGTTAAAGATAAGTATAAAAAAATTTCTTTGAAAAGTCTAGCACATATTATTATTACCAAAATATCCTTACTGACTAATTTAATATTTTAAATTTTAAAATGATATAACTTTTGATATAAATATCAATTTTTAATATAATTAGTATTTTTAGAATTCTCTTATCAAGATCTAGCAAATAAAGTCCAAGTTGACTATGGAATTCTTAAAAAAAATAAAAAAAATATCGGCATAATTAACGTAAACAGTAAAATTTTACTCTATTTCACAACAAAATTTTACTATGAAACAGAGTAAAATTTTATTGTTGACGTTAGTTTCAATAGGAAAAAAAATTATGATTTTTTTTAAAAAATTCATAACCAACATGGATCTTGTGGAGAAGTGATATGGAAATACTCTTCTGATCCTGGGAGACGCTTGTGATCCTCAAATAGACACCTGAAAAGAAATAAACACTCCGATCGGGGGTGTCGGAATTAGCACTCCGACGGACAAGTCAGTCTTTACTCTCTCT